AGAAAATCAGCTTCGTGCTGGAAGCCTTACCTCGTGGGGTTCCTTGGAAATGTATTCATTCAACTGTGATATTGCATGCGTGGTTTCATGAAATGACAATAGTTGACGAAATTCCTTGTGAAAAGACTGGGGAATGCCTGTAATGTTATGGTTTGAGAATCGATTTACTGAAAGCCGCCACGGTGGAGCGGGGGTATATATTAATGTGCTTATTCGTAAGGAAATTCCGTCTATTTAAAACTCGGTGAAACTGTTTACTCATATCTTTCACTTATTCTTCTCTTTCTGCATCTAGACTGAGTTCTGATCCCTTGTCCTAGCTTTGAGTTGGAAAACGAGACGGACCAAGTGTTGATTTCTGCCGGAAAGAGCCCTAAGGGAATCCGAAGACTCTGCTGGATTTTGGCCTTAGAACGCGGGTCTCAAGACGAAGGATGGGGAGTTTGCGGGGGACCCTCGTCAAATGCCAGATTGTCCTCACGGCTGCTCATTGCGTTGACAGGTGTGTCAGCTATGTGTCGTTCGTATCATTGCCGTTAGATTTACAGTAGAATGGGAGGAAAGAGATCGTCACTCAGTTGATATGAGTGTCTTCACTTGTCTACCTCATGTGTTGCAAGTAATTTGAGTTTACCGAGTTCCAGAAGCCTCAAGTTAGGAGTAGCACAACCGTCTTCATTCACCTTCGAAATCCTGTTACCTAGAAGTTTGATTTCTCTCAGGCTATCACTTTGAAGGGCTGGGAGCGAAGTCAACAAATTCATCACGAGATTCCGACCCTCCAGATGTTGCAGTCTCGGGAGAAGGTCGAAGGGAAACGTCTCCAGATGGCTGTAACCGATGGTCAGATATGAGAGTCGGTCCTTCGAGGACATGATGCCTGATGGATGGATTGTCTCCACGGCTGTTTTCCAAAGCTTTATCGACTTGAAGGAGATGCTCCCGAATATTCCATCGGGGAGTTCCTTCACCTCTTCGTTATCGCGTAGGTAGAAGTCCCAAGGAAGAGTAAAACAGAAAGAAACATACGTTGATATTTTTGTTCATACCTATATGATGTATATAAATAAATCTGCTGCATTCTCGCATTTTGGTATGACAAATGGGCTATTTACGAGCTTTCCAGTTAAGTACGCATCCAAAACATCCGAATCTGCATGGAATATCCAGAGAAAATTATACAAATATTCACGAACCGGCGAATAGTACCATGTAGCCGATTACAACTGTCCTCATGAAGTGATAAAATTAACCATTTCTTCCTTGCGAAATGTGCTGAAGTGTGCTGTGTACCTTTTGTTTCTCATGGAGTCTTTTCGTAACGCACGTAGCAAATTTACTTATTTCTTCACTGAAATTTTAAGGATGAGAGCAAATCGCGTGTAAAAGTGCACAAGATACTATTTGAATGCGGAGACTTTGGATTGACGTCGTATATTTTCCCGTCGATCCAAATGGTTTATTAAGGAAATCGCCCCAAATAGTTTATTAAGACGATCACGTCCTCGATCGACGATTGCTGGTAGGTACTCCGAGACCGACTGTCAGTTATACAGGAATACAGCATTTTTAGACGTCCCTGAGTTGGAAGTTGTCGATAATGGTCAGGACAGCACTAAAGTGCAACTAGTAACTGCGGTTTTTCATTAGGAATGACATCTGCGAAGCGACTGATCACACCTCTCCGAGTAGTTTCGTGCTTCCGAACCAGCGGAATGAAGTCCCCCTCGCCATAACTCGATCGTCGTTCGGGACAACTTTCAAGGCTCCATTCACCCCTTTGAGGAACGCATGGAACCCTGACTCGTTACTCAGACTGGAAACCAGAACGACGTCGAAGCCTGGATTTCCGGCTCCGTGTCCGTCGCCTGGGTCATTTCCATCTCCATCGCAACGGCATGCCAAAGTTGTATAGTACTTAAAGTTGTGATCAGACGAAGTTGCGTGTCTCCGTCGTCTGGCTTTCCTGTTGTCTGTGCCAGGTAACAGACATACACTCTTAGAAAAAGGGGAGCGATTTTTCTCAAAAAATAGAGCAAAATAGCTAACTCCAGTTTCACCCCCCTTTCACTCTGGGAAAGGAACAAATTTACTCCATCATGAAGGAGTTACACTCTTAGAAAAAGGGGAGCGATTTTTCTCAAAAAAGAGAGCAAAATAGCTAACTCCAGTTTCACCCCCCTTTCACTCTGGGAAAGGAACAAATTTACTCCATCATGAAGGAGTAAAATTGCTCTCCTCCATGAATAAAAACGCTTCCATCAGAAAGTGATAGGGATGTCGTGCAAATGCGAAGAATTCCTTATATACTATGTGTCGCTATCTCTCTCGTACATGCATTGACCTACCTCTGACTGTACTGATTACTTGATTACATCACATGTCAGAGGGTGGACCACCTCTTATTGGCTCCGTGGAGTAGTCCAGGATATCAGACCTCATCACCTCATTTAATTGAGGTATGAGGGAATCGAAGTTCACGGGCACTCTCTACGCATTCTAGATCTCCTATGCGGATAAAAGCACCCGAGTTCCAAGGGGGTTCTCAATAGGAATATGAGCTTGTTTATGGCATGGACTCTATGAGTACGTCTTGAATATGTGGATAACAAATGATGAAGTCTCCGTATTTATTGATTCCTATAATGAGACTAGGCGAGACACATGGCAAGGTACTAAACAATCCTGCGAGGGACGATTCCAGGGAAAGAGGGAACTTTTGTGTACCGTGCGAAAAGCGAGGCCCTTGTCTCCATCTAGTGGCCCGGCGAAGAACATCAAGGTGTTCACTTCAATACGAGCGATGAGGGAGTATTTGGTGAGTAATAAGAGAGGAAATTCGAAAAGCTCACGATGTGCTCACTTTTTACTCCCCAAAACGCTCGGAATTTTCTAAGAGTGTACAACTTCGTCGAACCACATTATACGGTACCGGGTCAACAGGCAGTTATTGCAAGCATAGAATTTCCGTTGTTTAGGTCACACTCGCCACCCATCCTGAATTACACTTGCATAATGGTCCCTGCAATCCACAGGGTGCGACGATTTTCCCACTGATGACCGAAGGGAGAAGCAGGATTTAAGCTGAGATCTGAAATGGGAGTCATCACACTTGTTTACGGGAACACAGAGCACGTTTTGAATGAAACTCAGTGTTATTGGGCGCCAACAACCACAAGATGTTGCGATTCCGTATTCTATTACTCAGGACTGGCAATTTCTGGGTTATTCTTCATCACATGACAATCCCGTTACAATCCATAGCTGTGATTAATCTTTCTTCCGATACTAGGTGAAGAACATTCTGATGTGAATCGTACTGGACCATTCCAAAAGATAGCTAAAACCAGTCCAAAGGATTTTCCAATCCATGATCCAATGGGTTGTTCTATAATATAAAAAAGGTTTTTCTGATTGTTTTTTTTATTTTCCGATGCTTCATTCCTGTCTGTTACGAATCCACACTTACTCATAAAATTGTATTAAACCCGTGTGGAAAGATGGATGTATTTAACCAAATGTTTGTAGCTTACAACAATTTGCTAAACGCAAGCGACAAATATATTAAACACGGAAGAAACAATAAGCCTCATAAAACGGGATCAGTACTTTCCATTTCTTTAAGGAATCAGTCTCCTCTAAAAAGAATAATACCGAAGTACAGCGCAATACTTCTGCTGAAGTGCGGCAGATGATGGTCGTGTCCGCCCATCGGACGCGATCTTTATCTGCAGTATTTAAGGTACAGGGAAACTCGATAATATGTAGCGGTTGCTACCAATAGAAGGCGGCAATCAATGCCGTCGTCTATTGGTTATGGTTTACGAGATGTGAACCCGTTACACGGCTGATAACTATCACCAGTGACCACAATAAAACCGGCGTCTAGGCTACCACGTTCGCACCAGCGCCAATACACTAGGAGTTGAACACGGACAAAAAGTCGCCCAAGAGCGCGATGGCTCACTGGCGATCGGGCAGGCAGGGATCGGAATGATGGCAGCGAAGAGGATGATGATCGACCCGATGAGGGCCGACGGCGTTCCGGTCCGCCGATTGTCCTCTTTGCCCTTCCGGCTTAACTTTCTTCATCCTTTTCTCAGTTCCTCGCGTATGAGGCACGCGCACAAACGCGGTTCATCTATTAACATTGCAACGTTCGGATAATGTTGGCGATGAGATCGAATTACTTTATGTACTTAATATCATTTCAATAAAGAAACCTTCCCCTTCACCTGATTGGGATAGCCTATTTTACTCAAATGTATTCCTATCACGAATCGTCTGCAGAAACCATCAATTAAATATAAATAAGTAAAGTCCGCCATCCCGGTGCTGAGAAAGCGGTCGAGAGATTAAACGCAAATACATTTCCGCGACATTCACTTAAAACCCAGAGGCAAATGTATCGCTTAAATATACTGGACAGGGCCGGAAGCTGACCGGAAGCGGTTAATTGATGGTGTCCACAGGGCTGAAAATGCTTCCACATTTCGGTTACACTGTGAAAGGTGAGATAAAAATATTTGAAACATGAAAGGAATTGAAACCGGAAGTAACAAGTATATTTAATCGTTTCTATTCAACAGAACGGCAGGGGGATTATTTCTCCTCGCAAAGGCATGGGGGCGACACAGGAATTTAGACCGAAGTTTGAGGGGAGTTTCAACCAAACGTGGAGGGTTGGGTGGAGGAGGCTGAAGCTCCCAATGGCCCCGACACATTTTCTTGCCTTTTGGTATCCCTGCGTCAGTCTTTCCTTGTGTTCCCACATGTCATGCAGTCTGACAGGTCCTTCCAATGTCTTTTCCACTAATTAAAAGAAAATACTATGCATATTTTACGTTGGGGTACTCGAAAGAAAATCAACATCCGACAAGACAATCAAGCTCCATATTTATCATGTCCTACTGCGATGGCCTGTCGATAGAAACGCCATGCAACGGAAGGCAAGAGAAAAAAAAAGAGAAGAAAAAAAAATCAAGAGAGAAAATGTATAAATGGAAGGAGGCGCTAACATCTTTCGATCCTCACACGAAGTCGTGAGGAGTGCTTCGTTGGACCTCCTCACGGGTGAGACTCTCTCCTCGTTCGTTTCAATGTGACGGCATCTCCTCGTTTCTCTTTTCGTTCATTCCTTGCTCTTCGTTCTCATTGTCATTTTGAGACGGTCAGACTCCTTCTAGATTGCAAACCCTGAAAACATGGTAATAAATGTACTCGGTTTTAACCAAATATATCGATCATAACTAGAAAGGTTTTCCTAACGCCGTCGAATCGGTCCCATTAGATGTTCCATTTCAAATCTCATCATGGCGTCCGTAAGACAGAAATAATAGTCACACGACTTTTTCTCACCTGCCTGCTTCCCTTCCAACAGCAATCAAAATGTGCAATGCGCATTATATTCCACGGCCAATTTCTTACCCATCTAGCAAATTTCACAATTCATGGAAATTCATTATTCTCATAGATTGCGTCAGACTCACGTGTTATCTTTTCTGAATGAAACTAATATTGTTTTATTTTCCTTACTAAACCATTTACAACGGTAAAAATAGAAACTGAGGAGGACACACCCAGGCATTACTTAGAGAACCTGATCCAATTAATCTCCAATAATTGGAGATTAATTGGAGAAATAATACATGAAAAGGTTTCATGTCAAATTTCATGCTGTTGAAACTTGTATGAAAAATTCTGAAGTTATTTCTTGCTCAAACAATATACGTAAGTAAAGATGTGAAAATACGTCAGTGGAAAAAATATAGCTTAGTTGTGCTCGCATGCTTATGAAAACGTAATATATTTTCGATTATAATTTCCTCAATTAAGGAAAATAGGGCTTGCAGAGTTTAATAAAATCTAAACCTTGCAATCACTTCCGTTGTAAATCATGAGGTCGCAATCATTTTATTTCCCACGGAGCACTCCAGGACTCCAGGACTTTAAGTGTTTCTCAATGGTTTACCAGTGCCCCTTGAAGAAGCGAAACGCACCACGATGGTAAAATAAAAATGAAATGCGTGACTGCACAATGGGAAGCAGCCTTTGTTGACTTGTAATCTTGAAAGGACGAAACCGAATCCCGTTTCGTTTCTCCTCGTGCATGTTCCCATAATTCTCTTCAATATCACCAGAGCAAGAGGTTTCCGTTGCACTAGTTTCTCAATCGGCTGATTGCTAGAGGAAGAGGAAGAGAAGAGAATCCGTCACGCTCTGGCATAGAATACCGAGAAGATGGAAAAGGATCTGCAGATTCAGGATCTCCTAGGTAAAGTGAATTTCATACGAGGATATATTGAGGACAAACTGATTTTGAATTGCTTTAAAATTATTTTCTTTTTAGCCACGAATAATGGAAAAGTGACGAGTGGGGCTAACAAAGTTGTAAAAGCAGTTCTGATCCTGACATTTGCAGCACTTGCTCTCTGGCAGGTGAAGAACGCGAGATTTTTGTCCCTCTGGTGTCCCAGGCATCATTATTAACATTGAGCACAATTAACCTGAAATAAAACTACAGGTGGCGATCCAGGTAGAAGAATATCTGTCCCACCCTAGCCAAACGCTGTACACGATGGAAACTGCAGACAAGATCCAGACCCCAGCATTCACATTCTGCCCCAAGCCGTCAGTGCGATCCTCCCCACAGGGCGCCGACGACCTGTCAATCGATTTGTCTGCGCAAGGGAGCAGGTCGAGGAACACCACCATGGCCGAGGATTTCAAGAATGTCTCCGTCTCGTTGCTGGACGTGCTCAACTTCTCCCCGATCCGGCTCAGAGATGGTAAGAAAACAATCGAGGAGAAAGTCACATCCGTCAAGGGGGAAACCGTTCACGTCCTCGGTGAGCATGCGTACATTTAATCATTTTGCACATATAAACGGTAGAATCAAGACGTGGTGGAAAATGCCTGATTTAATAGATTCTGGAACCTGGAGAGAGCGAACATTTTCACTAGCTCATGAAGGAAACGTTATCAATCTACGTGGTCCATATTATTACAAGTGCTTCACCCTGCTACCGGAGAGAAGAGTGGTTGCCGGATCTGTATCTTGCTCTAGTACCTCCTTCCTCTTGGATTTCAGACAAATCAACACAGCTTTCACGGTACGTCAGGAATTTCGCATGACCTACGGGCAAGAGATAAAACCACCTCATCGACTATAATGTTTCCCTTCACTTCTTCCATGCAGAGTACACCACTAATCGAAATGTACATCCATGACCGAAAGGAGAAATTCACCTTCTTGAGCATGACTTCAGCCAAATTATTGCTGCTGCGCAACAATACCATGACAAGCATCTTCAGTCGCCCTGAGATCATCCATCGACAAAGCCGGATGAAGGACCCCTGCATTCCGGACGAGGACTACAGCTACTCGAGAGTGAGTGAAAGTGTTCATTGATCAGTAAAAGAGAAGATATTTGGTAATTGTAAATTTTGTAATTGATGCATTATCGTTATGGACTGAATGGATCCATAGTGCATGGAGATCTGCTTTTGGGAAAGATTCTATTCAAGCCCTGGCGTCCCATGTGTCGTCCCTTCCCTCTTACCCGTGGAAGCGACTATCACGAAGCCGGAATGCCAAAATGCAGACAGCGAAATGAACCACACGAGGAGACTGTGGGAAGCCCGTCGAGAACCACTCGTCTCCCAACTGCTGAACGATTGCGACTGTACAAAAAGATGCGACACGATCGAATACCACATATTTCCAGATCCGACTTCGATCTGCCAGAGTATGAGGGAGGGAATAGCCATGCTCCACTTCAACTTCCCTTCGAAACTGGTTCGCCTCCTTCCCTCCCCATGGAGGTCAATCTTCTGCTTAACATAGATTCAGTAAAACGTGAGCCAGAACGGCTACCTTGTTTCCGAAACAGGTCCCTCACATCCTGGAGAAGGAGCTGTTGACTTCTCGAGATCTGCTGGTCAGTATTGGAGGAATCGTGGGCATATTCCTTTGTGTGTCCCTTTTTACTATCACAGCCATCGATCTGATTTGCTGCGGAATTTGCTTCAAGTTACGTCCACGAAGAAATGGGGTCATCGACGTTGGCAAGCAATGATCTGATCTAAGATACTGTCCCTTTATGCTTAATCGCACTATCAAAGCATTTTCAGCTTGGAAAGTCACGAGAGAAATGCATACTCACTTTCGATGACACATAAGAGATGTCCAATAATTTGGTTCAATATTTGGAGGAGTTTTTCTACGGCTTAAGTATTTAAAGTTACTGTAGTCAACGTAAATGACAATGTTCCTGACAAGTGGTTATTAATTTGAATGCCCTGTGACATATGCCTATGTTCACTGTGTTAAACTCTTCTTCAAGTACTGTATTACTCTAGTACTCTAGCCTCTGGAACTCTCCCACATTTAAATGCCCTATTTCGTTATTTTGTCCCCTCCTATGGGAATCCGGTCCAAAGATATTCTTGGAAGCCCATTTGGCTCTCATGGACCTCTCGTAATGAGAGCCTACATGCACTATTTTACATTTACTAGTTGAAATATTTCCTCATGACCCTACTTTTGAGTCACCCTTTAATCCATTCACAGCCATGACTACTTCATGTTTGATACGTATCGACGACTACATTGACGTTCTACGTTCGAAAAATTATATAATCGCGACCCCTTGAAATACTTGCATTTAAGTAGTCTGTATGTAGTAGAATGTTATTCCTATATCTGGAACGCGGTGATTCGCATGTGCAGCCATTTATGTCTGTGACTACACCCATGTAAAGCCGATACATCAAATTGATTTGCTGTACTTCAGTGCAGGACAATTTGTATTCGCTGCTGTGGATTTAATTTCGGAAGGCATTTGGTTTCTTTAACGTTTTTGAAAATAATGAGCTGAAGTTCTCAGATGTCACGTGTCTGCATGCTGAAATTTGACGTTTTTAATTGAGTTGAGGAAGTCCTTCTCCCGCAATGTTCTTCTATCTATCGGGAAGCATTATGTTGTTGGGAGACTTAGTTTTCTCGTAGAGCTGCAACAGAAAATGATTGAACTGGGCTCTCGCGCCCATTATCATGGATTTGATGGAGGATTAGACGAAACTCCTAGAAGAACGAGAAAGTCACTCTCACTTGAACAAGATTAGAGAATAAGGCAGTCTGAAAGTCTGAAAGTCTCATAGTCTGAAAGCGAAAGGATGAAGGCACCCACCCCCTTAATCGTTTTCCCAAGTTCCGGCGCAATGTCCGTATTCTCGATAAAAACCGTCTAACCGTATGATCTCAGGTATTGAAATTCAACCACCCACATATCCATCAGTAGATGTCCACATCCATATATTTCCAAAGAGAGATATCCATATCAGGCCAACGCCTGAACTTGCTCAAGCGTCAGTCGTGTGGGTTACTTTGCATAAGAAAGAATACATGCAAGTTCTCATAGATTGGGAGGATCAGACGGGTTCAAGTTGCACGGCATATTGTATCCAAGTTCAAATTGCACGGAAAGGTCAACTTGCAAACGACATTTACAATATATATTAGCAAATTATACCTATGCTTCGTTTTTGAATCGTGTTCAGAAGCGAGAGTGTGGCACGTGGAAGTTTGTCACTCGCTTTTCGGCAGAAAAAACCACAAGTAAATGAGCGCCCAAGATTACATCCAAGGGCAGTGTCAGGCGTATGCGATGAAGGAGGTTGCATCTAAGAGCTTTCTCATCGTATTGAATATGGCTATGAGAAATGGAAAGGGAGAGAGCCACAATGTCACTGAGCAGTTTTCACAGAACTCATCATTATCTTCTAAAGATGTGTCTTTAAGAAAATAAATTTAAAGATTCGCCTCACGGAAGGGACTTCCAATCAACTTCCAGGGGAAATCGGAGTTTCACTCTATTCCCGCCATCTTCAGGATGGACCAGGATACGAGAGTCGGTGGAGAACTTGTCAGGTGTCGGTGGCATCGCTCACCACTGCAGTGAATTGGAAGATTTCAAGTGTACTTTATGAAATAAGGAATGATTCATAAGTTCTTCGCCACTTAGGTTCACACGGAAACCCAACACCACTACACCACCGCAGCCAAGTGTTATCGCTAAGTTGCGGGTACTTTGCCTCGGATCGGCTTCCACCGTGTGCTGCAACTGCTCGTCGTCGATTTCAGATGGGCGGCCTGACCTGGGCTCATCCTCGAGGCTATAATTTCCAGACAGGAAACGATCGGACCAGCGTCGAGCTGTCCTTTCATGAACTGCACCTTGGCCAAACGCGGCGCAGATGCGGCGAATCGATTCGACTGCTGTGATGCCAGATAGGAAGTCGTAAAGAAGGCACTGACGTTGGGCGGTCTCGTTAAAGTCCATTTTGGAAGTCATGGTTATAGGCTTTGAACGACTAAGCAACTGCTGCTAATCACGTCCACACACCTTTTATATACTGCTATTGTGGAAGGTTCGAGTAAGATCCAGAAATTTTTTTTCTTGAAAATTCTCAAAACGGCCAGAACTTATATCCATGACGTTGATACTTCATTTTAGACCAAATTGCAATGTTTTTGGGGTTGTTGCCTTGGATGCCTTTAGGAATATGACTTAATCCACATCGGGCTGGCAGTACATTGAGATCGCGCCTGATAGTCACCTTCTTGGTTCTGCTTTTTGTTTGGAGATGAGTATATAAAAGCTGAGCGCAATTCCATATTTCAGAAATGACCTTTCCACGCAACTTACTGACGGAATAAAGAGTGGAATGCGAGCAAGTAACCACCAGGATTAAGTGAATAGCATATGAATTATAGTCTTAATAATGATAAAGGATATAGTATGTGCTACCAGAACGAGAACAGTGACAGCAATCATGTACGATATAATCACATTAGGTGATCTTTTTTCGCGTTGCAGCATGCCTATCTCAGATGTAATTTGTACGTAAAAGGAGAAGGAGAGCAATAAGGAAATCAATTTCTGCACGTTGCCTTATCCACATGCAACCTGTTCATTGTACGGAAACTTACGAAGAAATTATTTTCCAAATACAGTATAATGTCATCTTTTTATTAGAAAAAAGTCACACCGTTGAATCTCTCCAAGCAAAAAAGCTTCCGACGTATGCACATCGCCGTTCGGAACGAAATACAGATGTGGCTAAAGTAGGAAAAGATGACCATCGTAGTCTTTACCCAATCACCGTCTCGATCCACTCGACGTATCTGAGAAACAGACGTGAAGACTCATGTTTCGACAACGATCGTTGAGATGAATCTGCATTTGCGAATCCACAGAAAAAAAAGACAGAAGGAAAAGCGAGGGCCTCACCGATAAACCCTGGTGAAAATCCCATATTCGCCACCCTGCCTCTTGGAGCATTCCTTTTTGCCGAGATGGTGACTCACGATTCCTTCGATGTGCCAGAGGTCCAAGGCTTTTGAGTAGAAGACCATCGGACTGCCTGAATCCCCGGGACACACGGTTTGGAACTCTGTGCAAAAAATTTCACAAGGTCTATTACAGTAATATGGACGTCACGAATCGAAAACCACTGGAAATAAGTAATTTTTGCCGTTTCAATGACACAGGAATCGTCAACGTCGATGCCCAGCTCCAAAAAAAGCACATTTTGAGGACCAAAAATAGACCGACTGGTTGAGGAAATCATCGAGTGTTCACTTAAGACCTCCCTGAATATGCGTATCCTCCAAGCACCGTTTCCCATCCAAATTCCCCAAATGCCTAATACTTTCTTATCCCGACCTCCTCCTTACCACTGGAGCCTAATACGCACAATTGATGCATCTATCTGAAATAAAAGCTCCAAACACTGTTGATGGGCATGATAATATCGTTATGAAGAGTGGGTGTATATAAATAGGTGAAATGAATTCTTGGCTGGGCTCCAATGATCCATCACCACGAAATAATTCTGAACTTGTGCTCCATTTAACAGTAATATATATGGAGGTGATCAACTCTGGATAGGGAAACTACTATAGGTCCTCTTAAAAAAGCATACAGATTTTTAAATACGTATTGCAAAAACATATAAAAGACATTTCTTGATTGGGCTAGAGACACGAGGAAGTGATGCACAAACGGAAGATTACTAAAAGACTCTACGCAGATCACTTTCCTTACAAGGACTTACTGGCGTCTTGGCCATACCTGTTTCAGAGATAGTCGTATTACGTCCAGCACAGAATTGGTTCACGGTGAGGGTGCGGATGGTGTCAGAATCGCCAGTGACATGAATGTAATCCCTACGACAAATATCATTTTTTACCACCGGGATCTGAATTTGCGTTACTTCTTCGCTGAGGACATCCAAACTGTTCAAACCCCAAGCCGCCACCTGCCGTGAAACCGCGCTGATGACGAGAAATGGACGCTTTGGGGAAAGAGCAGAAATGAAACTGTCTCACCGATCCTATGTTTCCATCCTTGAGGTTGTTCTCCGTGATGTGAAGATTCTTCGGGATGCAGATCAACTGCACTCTGTCCGTCAACAGGACCGGCTCGTTCAGCTTCAGCAGGGCGATGTCAGAGTCAAAGTTATAAATGTTAAAGTCTTTGGATGACACGATCACAGACACCTGGAAACAAACTGTATCAATTTACATCATGTAAAGCTGGCAATATTGATACGGGAGCGATATAACAATAACTCGGTGACCTCTCTCTGCTGCACGAATTCATCGTCCAATGAATCATTCCGATAATGTTTCCCCACATAAACGCGGAAGTCATTCTGAGGCCGAGGTCGCGAGGAACCACCATATGCGATACAATGAGCTGCCGTGAGAACCCATTGCTTCCGAATGAGAGCCCCTCCGCAAACGATGAGTTTCTCCTTGACATCATAAATGGCAGCCTGCCATGGCCATTCTCCGAGACTCGACGGCTTGCCCCCGGCCGACAACTTCTTCACCAGCAGCCTCTTCCCGCAATCTAGGTCGGGAGGAGGGCTGCATGCTGAGGTGCGGGGAATTTTCCTCGGAGTAGTGGAGGATCAAGACTCACACGGCTCGCAGAAGGGGACGTGGCCATTCCATTTTCCCCTATCTGTGCACATCCGGTTCCGCGATCCCCTGATGACATAATGATCGTCGCACTTGTATTCCACTATGCTTCCGGGCACGTACTTGCCGTCTCTGATGCAATCTGTGCTGATTCCTGAGTCAACTTCTCCACTTGCACTGCCGAAAGCAATTTCGTAATATTTATTTCGTACCAGTTCGATTTCCCAAGCAAATAAAATATAGACAAATTTGGCATTAATCTTGACAATTCGTTTCCTCACCTCGTGACAACACCTGAGCAAGACTTTCGCACAAATCCGTTCAGAAATTCATGAGGTTCTTCGCATCCTCTCGAACCCACGACTGGAACAAATAGAGATCTCAAGCGCTCTTACGCATTTTTTTGCAATTTTTTTCCTCTCAAGATCAGGGTGAAACCTTTGATACTTCATAGGCCGTGATGCTGTAGTTCGCGGATTCATTTAACGCTCTTACTTTTTATTTCACTATTATTTTCGCGAAAAAATACACATGATCCGCATCTTCTAATATGTTTGATTTATTTTCCACTTTGAATCCGGAACCATTTTTTGTATTCGAACAATGTACAGGCTGTCTCAGATGTTGTGAACGAATTCAAATTGCAATTTTTTTACGCCCTCCTTCCAGATCAAAACGATCTTTTCAATATTGAAAGCTGATTTTGGGCGGAAATTATTTGACACATGAACGAACATGATGGGCTACAATGACATCAGTTCGAGAGGGCTTTATGAATGTCTTTTCCACAAATATTTCGATGCAAATCATGTATTTATTGAGAACAGCAGAAATAAGAGCAATATGACTTAAATAATTATGGCTCGTATGACACTTGAATGTTCGTTTGCCCTTCGGGCAAACAAACTCGCTGTGGTCGCGCCTTCGGCGCTCCATTACCTTGGATAGTGATTAATTCCTTTATTCTTTGCGAAATGGCAAACACGTATTTGAAGTACATCCCATTGGAATACGTGACATATAAGGACGAAAGGCTTGATTTTTATCAAAGTCATTACTTCTGTTATTTCTAGTGTGCCTAACTTGAAATCTTTTAATGTGTCCCTTTTTGTAAGGGTGGAGAATACATTTTAAAATACTTCCCTCCTATAATCTACGCTAAGGGTGCATATTTCAAAAGTAGGATTTTTCCTGTACTCAGCCATCAAGCAGGTACTTCTGAGAGAATTTTAAATTTTCTGTTTCCGTTTCGTTGGATCGAAAAATAATTCACGAAAATGGGACTTTAAAAAAGTCCCGATTTTTTTTTAACGAAATTTTTTTAAAATCTAAGTCTTCCGTTTTATTCAAGCAACGGGACATAGAAGGCAAGAGAAGCCAAAAAAAAGGCATGGAATGGCCGGGAATTGAAACCGGGCCTCACGATTACCGGTTAGATGTGCTACCACTACAACACTGAAACGGTGACATCCAATGGTATCTCTCGATGACATCCTTATCCATCATGATATATATTGGAAAAAACTTCTCCCCCAAAAATATGTACCCCCAGGGCATGTACCTCCAAAGTCGGATTTTTTCTGAACTTTGCACCCCAAAAGGTACATGTGTACCAAGTTTCAGATT